TATGTCTGAGTGTAGATCTGTTTTGGTTGTCGGTGGCTGGATTTCAGTATGCCTCATTTATGTGGATATCATTTCTTTTCTTATGCTTGGGAAGTTTTCCTTAATTATTTCTGTGAGTAGCCTTTGTAATTTGTTTGTGGTTACTCCTGCTTCTTCACTTACGTTTTTTTATCCTTAAGTTATAGATCCTTTTGTCGTCTTCTAGCCTTTGAATTGTTTCTTCTTGGTTCCTTGTTATTCTTAAGAGATCTTTTCTTTCACGATCATACATCATAAATTTCTCTTCAAGTTTCAAAAGGCTAACTTTAGTTTCTGTCAAGGCATTTTGCCAGTTTTCAATGGAGTTTTTAGTTTCCTGGTAATCTCTTTGGATCTGTTTTATGTATTCTAAGTTATGTTTAAATTCTTCACCAGAGGTTTCTCTGTCTTTTCTGAGTTCCTCCATTCTTCCATCTGTGTTCTCTTGGGAGGGGCTTATCATTTCTTTAATTAATCTTTTTATATCTTGCCTCACTTGGATCAGAAGTACAGTTTTAAATTTGTGAGGTCATGAAGGTATTTGTTTATGTCTACTGATGCTGTGTCTAGTATTGGATGGCTATTGCACTGGTTATCTTCTATATTTACTTCTCCTGGGCTTATTTTCCCATGTTCAGCAGCTGGAGGTTTTTTTTTTTTTCCTATCTCTTGTCATGTTTTCTGGTTTCTTTCAGACTAGTCTGTGCTAGGGGTCTCTAGCCCTCTCCATATTGCTTAGGGTCTTTCTGAAGCATGCTGACTGGGGTTTTGCTGCCCTCCCCAATTTGCTGTTATCTGAGGTACATGTAGGGATGCAGGAATGATGTAGGCTAGCCTTGAGCCTCTGAGCCAGTCAGTCCGCAAGTTACGCTGTACCTTGTGGACATCACAGAGTTGTGATAATTTTGTACCTGCTTATTGGGTCTCAACCAGAGGAATAGCTCAGTTTCAGTAGATCCCATCAGGTCTCTCTGTGTCAGAGATGGCTGACTGGTGCTGCTGTGGCGACAGGCTCTGCCCAACTCCAAGATGTCCTCCAGCCAGTGACAGAAGCCGCGGGACCCAATCCCTAGCACTCACTGTGAATCAACGCATTTCTTCCTCTTGGGTCCACTCCACACGGGGCCACATGTCTTCACTGTGCTCCCAGCACAGCGCAGATCAGTCAGAAAACTGCGTGGTGCCTGGCTTTGGTGCCCAGGTGTATGGTCCTCTTGCAGTCTCCTGTGGCGTGGCCAGGTGGCTCTGGCTGCTTTGCGGGGCCCCGGGACCCAGTTTCCAGCACTCACCAAGAGCCAATAAAGCTTTCCCCCTTGGATGCACTGCTCACTTTGCTGCATCCTCCTAGTAAAGGCCCAGGATTTGCTGACTCTTGTTATCAGCAGCTGTGGTCTTAGTGTGACTTTGGATCTTCTGGGCATGCCTGGTACAGCACGGAATAGGTCTCAGTGAGTGTGTCGGGTTTCAGACCTCCATCTGAGCTTTTTTTTCCTCTTCCTAGTTTTATTTTTCCCTTTGGTTACTGCCTTGGTTAATAAGAATCGTTATCCAATCATTTGGCCCTCTCCATGTTGTCAAATTCTAGCATCTGAGCGATTTCTTCCCAGAGGTTCTCTATCCAGCTTCCTAACAAGCCGCCATTTTTTCTCCTCCCCTATTTGAAGATATTTTTGCAGAATATGTCAGCCTGGGTTGGAAATTGCTTTCTTTTAGGGCTTGAGATATTTCACTCCAAGCTTTCTTGGCCTTTATGGTTTGTGGTAAGAAGTGTGCTGTAATTCCATTGGTTTTTTCTTTGTAAGTGATTTGTTGCTTTTACGGTTGCGTTCCCATGCTGGACTTTTGAAATTTTGACTTTGATGTATGGTGGAAAGGTTCCCTTTTGATTGCGACTATTTGGATTTCTATATGCCTCATTTATCTGTATGTTAAATTGTTTTATTTTATTGGGAAACTTTTCAGCTGTTATTTCAATAAATAGATCATGTCATTTGTACTATCTTCTGATTTTTTTGCTAACTCCAATTTATCTTAATAAGTCTTTTTGGTAACATCTTGGACCTATTGGATCCATTTTCATGTTCTGTTATTTTTAAACTATCTCTCAATAGCTGATTACTGACAACCTCTTTCTCCTCTAAATCTGAGACTCTGTCCTTACATTAGTCACTTCTGCTGCCCATACTTTCAACAGAAGCTTTAATCATTTCAGTTTCTATTTGGAGCCCTCTTGTGCTCTCTCGTTTTTTGTGTGTACCATGCATATTCTATATCATTTTGTTTAGCTTTTCTATCTTTTTTATTAGTGTATTCTTTAGGCCAGTAGATTATTTTGTATTATTGATCCAATGTTTTCTTACTTATAACTTCTGTGATCTTACCAATTGTCTTTTTGAACTGTTTTATTTTATTTATTTTGTTTAATGTTTTTTATTATTTTGAAGGTAGTAAAATATAACAGAACAAGATGGAACAAAGCCAATTTGAACAGAGTAGAGAAACTGGTATAGAACTTAACAGCAGGTTACCAGGATAATAGTAATAGGTACCACAGTATATCTTGTTACCTTCAAAATAGTTGTTCTTTCAATCAAGTATAGCAAAATAAAAGGAAATACAGAACACCATGGAACTTATTAAAGCAGAATATTGAATAAAGCAGTACCATCAATCAGAATAAAGCAAAACGGTAGTAAAAATATTTGCCTTCAAAGAGATGGTAGAAGGCAATTCTCCTTATTTGCTGTTTTGCCTGTGGTCAGTCTCGCAAGAGATGCTCAGATCTCTGGCACCCATTTGCTAATGGGGTGGGGGGAAAGGTGAGATGTTTGATTCTCAGCCTGTGCACCAGTAGGCTCACTACCACTTAGCTGGGAGGCAGGCTGGTTGCTTGGTTTCCCAGTGCCCTGAGTTCCAACATGACGTGGATCTCAGGAGACTGGTCGTTTTCCCCTGCAGCCAGCCACACTACTGCTGCTTACCAGGGAGGTGAGCTGGTTGCTTCTGAATGGTTTTATTTTCTACTTACCTGGGAGGTGAGCTGGTTGCTTCTGAATGGTTTTATTTTCTACTCTCAAACTATGTTGGGGTGGTTTTGTTTTTGTTTGTTTTTTGGAACTGGGGATCAAACTCAGAATTTTGTGCTTGCTAGGCAGGTGCTTATGCCACTGAGCTAAATTCCCGGCCCACTATTTTGGATAATTTGGATGTGAAGCTTCTGACCTTCCTTTTGATGCTCCCTGCACCAGCTATGGGAGTTGGGAGTTTTCTGAGGCATTTTGTTGGCTTGGTTTCTCATATTTCTATTTTTGTTTGTTTGTTTGTTTTGTTCTGAGGCTTGTGGGTTTATTGTAATGGAAAGTTTTTTTCTCCCTAGTATGGTGATCTCTTTAGTTAATGTCTCCTTTTCAGTAATGTTTTCTGGGCATGGTTAGCTACTGGCCTTTGTCTCTGTCACAGGATCCAGCCAACTCAGTTTGCTTAAAACGGGAAATTACAATGTGTTTGGCCCGATACCCAGTTCTCCCAGAATTGACTACAGTATTTTTAATGACCCCTAACCTATCTAGATATTGGCACCTCAAGAAGACTGGTTAATATTAGTAGCTATGACACCTTGGCTACAGTGGTAAAATCAGAATCAAGGGCCAGGGATTTAGCTCAGTGGCATAAGTGCCTGCTTGGCAAGTGCAAGGTCATGAGTTTAATTCTTGGTACAAAAAAAATCAGCATTAATTATAGCATTAAATACAAACAGAATATTGACAAACTCTAAGGACCAATGAAGCATCACTGGCCCATAGAAAAGATACCTACAACTAGTTATGGTATGAACAACAAGAAACCAAATATTGACCTCTGGTAAATACCTACTAAATGGAACAACTTTAGCTCTACTAAAAATAGAACAGTATTTAAAACTAATAGCATAAAGTTAACCACTTACCTATTGACTCATAAAATTTATCTGTACTAGTAAAAATTGAGATGGTGTGGAAAACTAGGGAATGAATAAAAACAAAATTATAAAAATGAACCAATGGAATTTAAAGAGGAGGAGAGAAAAGTAAGAGAGAGGATCCTATTAAGGAATCAAAGAAAATTAATAGTAATAGAGAACCGTTACTGGAAAGAATGAACATAAAAAGATGAAAAAAGATAAATATTAAAAATAGTAGATTAAAGAAAGAAAAAAGAAGGGAAAAGAAAGAAAGTAAAAGAAAAGAAAAAGTGAGAAAAAAGCCTCTTACCCTGAAAAAACCCTGATAAAAAGATAAAAAGATACAAAATAGAAAAATTAAAAAAAAATTGAGTCAAGGAAGGAATTGCTGTGTTACTGAATGAATGGTTTCCTGTCTGCTGCCTTATGATTCAGTCAGGCACGATTTTCTCTCCTGGCTTTAGGTTCCATGGGTCTTTGAGGTGCCCTCCTTTTACTGGACGCCCCGCTATCCATCCATTCATCCCAGACTGTGGTTGTCTCAAGGCGAAGTGTGTCCTTGCTCCTGTTGGTAGATAGAGATCACAATCAGCCCTACAGGGTGTAGGTCAACGAAAGCAGGGGTTTAAAGCAGGGAAAGCAAGAGCTGTTGCGTTTAGTGTTGACAGTTATGGGGTGTGTTTTCTCTCTTCCTTCTCTGGGTTTTGTCTTTGTTCAGGATCCAGCAGGTTGGTGAGTGTTTGCCTCTGCTGCCTGGCACTGTGATGTTTTGAGGGGGAGGCTCTGCTCTTCTCGTGCAGGTCTGCTCTAACTGGTTTCTTCTAGATGGAGTTTTTAGTTTGTATGGATTTCTTGTATTTATTGCATATCTCACTGATCATGATGCTGACTTGATTATATCAGTTTTAAGAATGGGTTATATTAGTTATTCTGGAGCAATCCATCATGTCATTTATCTTTTTGAAATTGCTTAAAGTTTTGATTACTTGAAAGAATTGTTAAATAAAACTGAATAACTTTCTTTTTCTTCTTTCTTCCTTAGAATCAAGTTTCTTACTGGGAAATGCCCAAATTGTGGATTGGCCTGTAGTGTATAGTAATGATGGTTTTTGTAAACTCTCTGGGTATCATCGAGCTGATGTCATGCAGAAAAGCAGCACCTGCAGGTAGGTAAATAGAACAATTTAGGAATCTTTTCTAAAATTATAAAATATTCTGAAAGCAGCCAAAATGAATTCGTTTACTTAGATCAATACAGAAACTAACAGGTGAGAATTATATCAGAAAATTAAGAGGGCTACATTGTTAATGGAAACATAATTTAAGAGCCATTGTTCCTTTTTTAAAGAAAGGGATTTTTACATATCTAAATTAATCAATTCCTTCAGCAAATTCTTTTTGATCAGCTGTTGTGAGGCAGGAGCTAGCACAGGTGCTGAGTGACCAGATGAGCATCTGTACCAGGGAAACACTGCTGACACCAGGAGCTGGAGGGCAGCTCAAAGTGTCCTTCATGAAGCAGAGTGACCCTGCCTAGGAAAGCAGAACAGGGTTCATGAGCATTCGCAGGGCATGGAAATGAATTCTTACAACCTGAGTCAGTTACATGTTCTTTTAATGTTGGCTCACTGTACCATTGCTCTTTTGTTTGTCCTGTATAAAGCAGAACCTAAAGCCCAGTGTGATGGAACATGCCTGTAATCCCAGCATTCTAGGAGGCTGAGACAAGAGGATTCCAAATTCCAGCTCAGCCTGAGTAATTTAATGAGATCCTGTCTCAAAATAAAAAAAGAAAAAAGGGATTGGAAATGTAGCTCAGTGTAGACTCTGGGTTCAATCCTCAGTACTGACAAAGCAAAACAAAAAGACAGAAATACAAAACAAAATCTGATGTTATCTGACATTTACTTTACTTACAATACTTTTTTTAAAAAAAATTAGGTCATTTCTTCAAGTTTAAAGAGAGAATTATGATGTAAGGGAATTGGAAAAAAGAAAAAGGAATAGGAAACTATATATAAGGTTCCAATTTAGAATCTAAAACCTAGTAAGACCATATGGGATGCTTTTTCTTGGTCTAATTTTTTCTTTAAAGTTCTCACTTAACTAAGCACTGAAACCAAGTTATATTAGAATTGAAAAAGATCCGAATTCTTTTTTCTAATTCAAATTCTGTTTTTCAGGTTAGAAAACTCTCATAGAGCTTTGTTAAGAGATTTTCCCAGGGAAACATAGTATTTTATTAACTTTTTTTCTTTAGCCCCAGTTATGCTGAGAAGTCATTCATTCCTCCTGCATTTTCATGGAAGCCAGTGTGTCTAAACCTGTCTATACATAGGAAACACTTAAACAGCATTTGCATAACAGAGATTCCTCAATCTCTTAACTTTGTTGAATGGGAGTCACTCAAAGTAGATAGATTGGGCTGGTAGTTAGTTTTTGTAACCAGGAGCTTTGATGATTCTGGTACTTATCCTGGTTTGAGAAATAATCTGTTCAAACATCCTTGTAATCTCCCCATGCTGTCCTCATTTTTCCACTGCTGGTTACTCCTCAGTCACTCTTCACTCAGCTACCAAGTTGGTAAATGCGAGTGATGCAAATCGTGACCTTTGTTGGAGAATCTCCTTTGTGAGCTTTGATATCATTGTGCCTTTTTACCATGGGGGTAATCATTTGCTTTTGTGTTAGCACTGACAGTGAAGCCTGTATTCTCTGTTCTGTGTCAAGCATCCCTATTTCCCTGTATCCCTAGCAGAGTGTGGGTAAGGAAACAGTTAAGTGTTATGACCCACATTATCCTCTAGAATGGGCATGATAAAGGGTTCTAGGGACTGTAACCGTTCCTACACCCATTTTTCTTCTGGACCACTCACATCTTGTTCTCATGCTGAGTGTTTCTCAGATGTCATCTTCCACTTGAGGGTATTTGCAGTACCCTTAAGAAGATGTGTCTTTTTCTTCTGTGGCTTTCCATGTTCTTTGTATTTCTGTTGGCATCAATGTTTAACCTTAAATTAGCTTGCCGTATTCTTTGGTATCTTGGAGATTTTTCATTGCTGGGACAAAATACCCAACACCCACAAGTTAAAACAGGAATTTTTTTTTTTTGTGTGTGTGTGTGTGTGCACAGTTTGTAGAGCTTTTACTCTATAATCTACTGGCTCCAAGGCAGGGGTACCATGGTAGAGGGGCATTGCAGAGGAGAAAACGTCCATGAAGTGGTTGGTGGGCAAGAAGCAACAAACAACTCTCCCTTTTATCCCATCCAAGGTACAAGCTGTTTGGGTGATACCACCCGTACCCAGCATGGGTCTTCCCATTATCCACACCCAGAAATACGATAAACCAATTAGCGGACTAACCCAGTACCACACACTCAATCCCATCATCACACCCAGGTCCAGCCACCTCTGAAAAGCCTTACCTACATTGTATGGGGTTTTGGGGGGACATCTAAATACAAGCCACAATGCTTGGGTTTTTTTATTCTTATTGCTTCTGTTGTCATTTCCGAGACGTGTGGCTCTTCATCTTTGATGTGTTATAAAACCTGCTTTCATTCTTTCTTGTGTGCCATGGATTTTCCCTATCTCAGCCTGTTTTATTTGGGAAACACAGTTTTCCTACAAAAGGATATACTGAAAGAATTACTGACATATTATATTATTATTCATTTCTCTGATAAAAGAGTTACATTTCCCTTCACACTAACAGCATCTGATTATGTACTTGGAAATCAAGGACTCTATCTTTTGTATGAAGCGAACCACACAGGGCCGTGGTTTATATTAAGTTAGCTTGTTTTACAGTAAGTCCTAACCCAGGTCTCCCATAATTCTACAAAGCGTGTTTCTGTTTTTTGCATTTCATTCCCAGTGTTACAACATTTGAAGTGGCTGAGGGTGAGTTTTGGATTATTTTGAGCATTTTCACTGTGCAAAAAGTATGCAAATCTTGCTGGAGCCTTCTTCACATATTAGAAGCAATATTTTCAAAATGATCACATTCTGAACATAAACAGTTTTTACTTGCCTGCGCAAAATGCCAAGTGTGTTTTGCTAATCTAAAAATTGCAGCCAGTTTAAGTCCCAGAGTGAGGAAGTGTAGAGTCTGATAAATGAGCAGATGATATATAAGCTCTGGCAGGTTTCCTTGGAAGCTTGATTTATTTGCATTTGTTCCCAATTTAAACCTCCCATCTCCCTTTAAAAATTGAACTGTATTTATTTTATGTCGATTGCAGTATTATTTAGAAAGTATGGAGACTTAGAAATAATCAAAACATCTAGTTGTATAAGATTTGTTAAAAGACATAATGGCAAAACCCTAACTGCCAAGATCATGTGTCAAAAAGATAACATTGAAAAATAGTAATGACATATTTATCAAGTTAAAAAATACTCCAAACAAAAATCCCCAAAAAACCACCCTCAGTTTATAAAGCAGAAGTATCTACATCATGCTTCTTTTTTTTAAAAAAACACACAGCCTTTTGTTTTCCAGATAAACAATTATAATTACATATCATATTTTTTAAAAAACACTTAAATGTGAATTATTTTATGGAATGAAAAAGACATTTGTAGTTTTACAATATCAGGAATCTAAAATTTATTTCTTTTTTAAAAAAACTTTTTCCTACTTTGTTCCTTCTACTTCCTGCCCCATTGGACAAAATCAAATTAAGCTTGCTTCTCTGTTACAGTATTATCATTGTGCTATATTTAGTTCTTTTTAAGAATGTCTTTTTGCTTTATCTTATCCCTCCATCGTTACATACTCATTTGAGTGTGTTAACTGTATGTCTCTTTAATCCATTGCTATTTATTTAATATGTATAGTCCTGAAGTAAGGCTACGTTCTGTGTGTTCCTATACAGTTGCCACCATTGCCAGCATGAAGTCATATTTATATTTTTAATTTCTCATTCAACAGGAAGCTTTTGAGATTTCTTTATGCTTTTGCATCATAACTGATTTCATTAGGTCTGAGTGTTGTCCAGTGCTTTGGTGTCTTTGCAGTATTCTTGTGCCTATTCGTTTTGTTAGTCATAGAATCCTGCTTCTGATGCTTTGCTACCTCAAAAAACTTGGGGATAAACAACCTCAAACACATCTTCTGTGACCTTGAGTGAGTTTTGTCTCTGTGCCCAGAATTGGGCTGTTGGACAATAGAACAGGTACAGATTTCTTCAATTAAATACTATCAAACTGCTGTCCAGAGTGGCTTTTGATTTCTGCTTTTATCAGCCATCAGTAATGGTTCTGCTTTTCCTCGCTATGCCATCTCACTTTGTTTTAGCCAAAATTAAAAAAAAAAATCTATGTCACATTAGGATTCCTGGGCATTTCAGATATATTCCATTTGTTGTCTAATAATGGCATTTCCAACCCTTGGCCTGTTCTATTTATTAGAGGACACCAAAAACGTGCATGTTTTGAGGAGATTATAAGTTTTGAGGGAATGACATTTAAAAGCATCTGAGCTTATTTCATGATTCTTAAGGAGCTCTGACATTTGAGACACATTTGCATAGGTTATGGAGGAATTAGTCCAGTCTTTTATCTTTTATTAACCTGCCATTTTAAGAAACCTAGTTGGCTTTTGTGCTTTTGGGTAGAGAGGTGAGAAGAGCAGTCAGGTGGTAGGGAAGGGAGTGTCAAGGACTAAATAGAGGCTTTTGAATACATTGTTTTTGGAAGGCTATTAACAGTCCCTAACCGAAGTCATCAGATTAGAGTGAGAGCAGAGGTATTAAGAGACATGTTATCGGGTGGATTTCATAAGCAGTTTTATTAATACAGGATTATCTTAGCAGACAACAAGGACATAGCCCCCATGGTGGATGTAAATCAGTACAGTTCCATTTTGCTGAGTTCTGCCTCTCATGGCCACCAAAGAGGGCAGAGGTACCTCTGTGTTGTTAGACTCCTATGGTTAGAGATGTGCAGTGCTATCCCTGATTTCCCTTAATTACATGTCATGGATCTACCACTTAGAATTCTATCTAAATCCTTTCAAAACCATACAAATTAATGGTTTGTGAAAACCTTTGGTTATGACCCTTTGTATAAAGTAATATCTCAGAATTATTTTGAAAATTTTAGATTTTCAAGGTTTTGAAGGTTGTGTTCTTACTTGTTTTAAATTTTTCCTGTTTAAC